AATTTATATAAAATTAGTAACTCTAGAAGTATTGACAATAGAAACGGATTGATTTTATACTTCGAAGTGTTTTACTCAGATTAGCCCGTCTATGTGACACAAATAATTTTCCCCTGTTACCAAAGGCCCCTTCTGTGTGATTATCACCCGGAACGAGGTTGAGGTGTAGCCATATCACAGTAGCCGCGGCAGATATATGCTGCAAGTTGATTGGGCGCAAGAAGTCGGTGCCACGGACGGGATTCGAACCCGCATCTTTGCTTTCCGTGCAGCTGCGTTCCCTGCTACGCTACCGGGGCCACTTTTGACCACTCAGCTCAATGGCTATTTGTGCCATTGCCTTCGAGCACTCACACGTTCAACGTGATGAGCCGGTTAGCCGATATCGGCAGTGAACCGCAAGGCTGAAGGCTTTTACAAGTTTAAGACGTTGTTTTTATTGTTTAGTAACTGCTGTTTAACGCCGCAGTGCGCGATCCGAAAGCTATCACAAGAATGCTGAGTTATGGGCAAAAGTCGGACCACGGACGGGATTCGAACCCGCATCTTCTGCTTTCCGTGCAGCTGCGTTCCCTATTACGCTACCGAGGCCACTTTTGACCACTCAGCTCCATGTGCTTGATATTTGTGCCATTGGCCTTCGGAGGCACTCACACGTTCAAGGTGATGAGCCGGTTTAGCGCGATATCGCAGTGGAGCAGCTGAAGGCTTTTAACAAGTTTCAAGCTGTTATTGTTTAGTAACTGCTGTTTAACGCCGCAGTGCGCGATCCGAAAGCTATCACAAGAATGCTGAGTTATGGGCAAAAGTCGGACCACGGATGGGATTCGAACCCGCAGCTTCTGCTTTCCGTGCGGCTGCGTTCCCTATTACGCTACCGGGGCCACGTTTGACAACTCAGCTCAATGGCTATTTGTGCCATTGCCTTCGAGCACGCACATTGAGGTTAGCAAACACCTGTTCGTTCTTCGATATATTCGCAAGTAAAATAACGGATATGGTCGCCACTTATTTAAATAGCTACGAAGAAGATTTCTTTATTACTAGCATTGTTAAATGTATTTACAGAAATCCTTTCATTCTATAAACCAGTAACTTTGTGTGATCCGTTTGTTATGTTTGTTATGTAAGGTTTGTATGTATGTATGTATGTATGTATGTATGTATGTATGTATGTTTGTCTGTCCGTCCGCAAAATACTTCACGGGTTCGAGTTCGCTGGAGGCGAAAACGACCGCTAGGCAAACCGGTAACCGACTGGGCGCCCACAACAAGGTGTAGCAGTCCAAATGATTTGATTGTGCATAACAGCTCCGCTATATAAGACAGCCATGTACGGTACACCTCCGAGCCATTGCACCGACCCGCTCTCAGGCGCTGCGACTGACGCCTTGTCCGTCGCGGGGTGCAGGGTGGGGTACCGGTCGCCCTGCCTCCCTCTCCTTGCACGCTGCCCTCCCCAGCCTGGAGCTGAGGCAGTGTATGGGGGGGGGGAGGGGAGGCCAGAGGTAGGGTCCGCCGACGCCGACGCGGGCCTAAACGCCTGCACTCGTGCGTAGCGCGCGTTTCAGTAGAAACGGGCACCAAGGGATGAGGAAACAACCGCTAACAAAACTGCAAGCCAATCTATGTTACCGTAACGAACTAACCATAAGAAGTTGTTGGTTGGATAAACACTCATCCACTCATAAGTAAGAAAACACTCCTCCTAGCCACTCTCGCACCCCGGCGTTGCTCGCGTAAGCTGGACGTAAGCGCGTGCAACGGGCAAGGTGGGCGGAGGGGGGGTGGAATGGCGAGTACGGAATAGGGTGAGGTGAGGAAGGTGGGAGTTAGTATGCGAGTGACCCTCCCCTTCTCCCCTCTCGCATCATTTCGCCCGCGTCACTCCCCAGCTCGTCTGAGCCCATGCAGGGATAGGAGGCATATGAACTGAATCGGGCAAACTGGGTACAGTAAGGGGATGTGTAGCGTACGCTTGAATAGGAGCAGGCGGCAAGAGAAAAGGAAAGAACCGCTAGCAAAACTGCAAGCTAATCCATAGATTCATAACCAGCCACAACTGATAATAGTTGTTTGGATTGTGAAATCGCTCACCAGCTCTTACGTCAACCACTGTGATATACTCTGTACTGCAGGAGCTGCTCGCTTGGGAGCTGGACGTGAGCACGAGCAAGGCGGTGGTAAGAACAGTGGCGGTGTAGTGTCCCTATGTTGCATGGCGGCTGCATACCACGTGCGGGAGTGGGTGCCGGTTGAGGTGGGTCAGTGGGATATGATTTGGTGAGGGGATCACAGATGAAGAAGCGGCGATTCCCGCGGATTAGGAGCACATAGCCCTGTGAGACCGCGGTAAGGACGTCTCGGTTGCGAACAAGCATGGATTGACCGCAATCGGATCTGGACCGATTAATGTTGCATTATCAAATTGTGGTAGCTTTTGATAGTCATAACACCCTCCACAACATAACACAACCATTTAGTGCACTCAGAACCATTGCACGGGCTATTCGCGTAGCAGCTGAGTGTGACCTGTAGGGTGGCTGAGCGGGGAATAGCTGAGGTTAGTTTGGGATAAGGGGTACCATATTGGCGCGAGGCCCGAGGACGCTCGCATTTCCTTGAAGCAGCAGCACACAGGGAACTGCGGGAACGCGGAAGTAATCCGTGGCTGTCATAAGATGGGGAGGACAGTAATCGATTATCCATGACCAGATTTTAAACTTTTCATTATAAAAGTGCCCTGCGACTATATGGCGCGTTCCTACATTTATTTGATTAGAAGACACCGGTTAGTCACCATGAGAGCACCATAAATAATGCTAAGACAGTAGTATCGCCCCTGCTTATTGCCTTACTTTGCTCCTTTCTTTCACGAGTTAAGAAGTGAGGCTCTAAAGCAGTTGCATGAGCCCGGCGAAGCCGGGCCTTTAAGAAGGAGGAGAGCTCGACGTTAGCCGGGCGATCCGACTGGTAAATCCATAATTACAAATACTCCAATCGCAAATAACTATGGAAAGATAAGTAGACAAGTTAAAGGTACTCTCACTGGCAGAGAAGTGTTCAACACTAATCCCCCTCATACCATGGAATTTTTTACTTAACCTTTTTTTTACTTAACCGATCGCTTCCACAGTGTTTTATACTCAATATTCTCTCAGGGGGTTTAGTCTTTGGATGAAAATCCTTTTTCCTACCTCTTACAGCCTTCAATACTCATATCCAGTTATGTCCTTCTTTCATTTTTCTACACAATTCCTCCTCGTCTTGTTTGCATGAATTTTGCATGTGAACCTTTTTTCATATCTTCTCTCGTTTTATCCTGCATAACTTCTTCCCCTATGTGGTCCATGTCCTCATATCGTCAACCTGTCGCACTGACGAGCCTGGGGTTGGCTCGACGTTGATGATTCGTCTGCCATACCGCGGAAACGGATCATCTGTGCTTTGGAGTGTATTCCTTTCCCAATGTTTGTTTTTCTTTGCTTCTAACTGGTGGTATGGACCGGTTCCTATAATGTGAAGACCGCTGCTTTCTTCGCGGGCCCCAGCTGAAAGTGAAGGCTGACTGCTTACTCGAATCGACTCGTGGACATATCCTGCTTCATGTCATCGCTGTACGCTTCCTTGGAAACTTCGTAACTGCTACAGGTGAATGACATCCAACATGGAAATCGAAGGGCGTTGGAAAAACTCTCGCCTCCTTGAAATAGATGGGTGTTGAGTACCCGAAGAAGACGGAATATCTGAGTGTGTCACCTGACCTAAACCACCTCTCATTACCCGTTCCCGAGCAGAGCTCAACAGGGTGGTCTATCGGAGAAATCAACGATCTCGCTGAACTCAGGTGGTAGAATCTCTCGATGGCGCTCGTCCAAAAGGCTGTGGCGGAGTGTCATGATAGTATCAGCATTCTGCAAAATTCTACAGAAAGAACATAGCAAGAAGTTTGATGATTCATTCGCCTTCCATAAGATTGTTAAAATGTTTTCTTTTTTGAATATTTGAAATGATTCATTTTATTATGTCTACATAGCTCACTGATTAAGCCTTTGCTTTCTTTTTGACATTACATATTAAATTTCTTTGACTCTTGCCGTATAAAAACCACCTATGCGATAGAATAAACGGATTCCAACCAATTGGTCCACATCCAAAAAATGGTGATGATGATGAAATCTGTTTGAAGAATTTCAACGAAACAATATTCTTCGACAACGCCGAAGGACGCTACGTTGTACAGCTGCCCTTCAAAGGAGACAGAGGAAAGCTTCCATCGAATATCCAGCTTGCATATGCCAGACTCGTCCAAAACATCAGAATGCTGCAGCAGAAACCGGAACTCCTGGGACAATATCATCAGCTCATCCAGGATCAACTCGCAAGGAAAATAATAGAGGAAGTTCAAGAGAGTCAACCTCCTAGCAGTTGCCACTATTTGACTCACCACGCAGTCATCTCCGAGAACAGTACAACGACGAAAATTCGCTGTGTCTACTATGGATCAGCCAAAACAATGAACAATCCAAGTTTGAATGAGTTACTTTCCGAGGCCCAGTACTACTTCGAAGACTCAGCTGGATTACTCTCTGTAAGACAGCTCCCATAGCCATCCATTTCAAGTGACATTGAAAAGGCATTTTTGGAGATCGGATTAGACGAAGAAAGCAAGGACTCAAACGCTTCCTGTGGCTCAAAATTCCTCAACACACCGTCGTCCCGGGCAACATTATCACGTACAGGTTTCGAAGAGTACCATTCGGTTTAATCTCTTTCCCATTTCTTCTCGCAGGGACCATACGCTATCATCTACCAATGATGAAAAAGCGATCTTGCGCAAAGGACCGTCATGTCGGCAATACTAGCTGGATAACATATTCTAGGCGATTAACACGATTGACCAAGGGAAGAAATTCTACAGCGAGTCGGAGGATCTATTCTCCGAGCTGGTATGAATCTTCGACAGTACGTGAGGAATTCCACTGAGCTCAAAACGACTTATGTTCGATGAAAAGAAGAACAGGCGAAAATCATTGCAACAACAAAAATCCTCGAATCTCGCAGACGTCGAAAAACGATCAGTTCGTCATCAAGCTCCCTACGTTGCCGAATCCAGATATTACATGGACAAAACGACAAGTACTGAAATTGCCGCCGAAACATACGATCCATTAGGCTTGGTGTTCTCACGTGTCTCTAGTTTTTCACGCAGTTAGAAACTCTTCTTGCAGTCTTTATGGAAAGAGGAAGTGGGATGGGATGAAGTTCTACCAGCCCATCTCACCAAAACATGGAACGAAATCACGTCTAGCTGGACTGCCTCGAAAATTGTACTCCCACGCAGACTGCTCACAGGTACGAAAAACTCGTCACGTTTGAAATTCGCGTTTTCACGGACGCTTCAAAGGCCGGATATTGTGCGGTGGCTTACCTCGTAGAAGTTAATGCAACGAGGAATATTTCTCTTCTTGTGTCCAAAACTCGATTATCGCCACTGAGTCACCGATGACCATAACCAATCGAGCTGCGAACTATCAGCGGCCATCAATTATGGGTCAGCGAAAACTGATAAGTATAATGACGCAAAAACCGCCTTTGATAAGACAGTCATATGGTCGAAACGGCCCACGTAGGCATTGATGAGATCAAAGGGTGGACCAGTTTCAATGCAGAACCTTCGATTAGTCATATATCCAAGGAGAACGCTCCTGAAGCTTACTTATGCAATTTCGTGCCTGAACAATAACCCAGCCCCGAACTGTGTGGAGCAGATGGATTATCCATAGGAGAACTGGTTTCATACGACACATGGTGGCACGGACCGTCATTTCTTACAAAAACAGACGACCACTGGCCGAACGACATTTCTTCAGAACAGAGCCCAGGCAGCTGCGATACACAAGAACTCCAAACTCCCCCACCATTGGGTCGACCAGATACACCTGAATTCGGAACCCAGAAAAGGTTTAGCAGCTTGCTGAGGATACTTCGTGTTGTTTACACCATTCTCCTCTTCATCATCAGAGAAGCAAAAAAGGCTAAACAACAGTTTGGAAAATCAGAATCAGCACTGTACGATAGATCCAAATTATCCTTTTGCGAATAGTGCAGCTGCAATGTCCGCCTTCAGCTTCAGTAAAGGAACAACTAAACCTTTTCGTGTGTGAGGAACTGAACCTCTGGAAATCAAGAGGACGAGTGGACAATGCGGATCTCTCAACGCGAACTATGACTCAGCGTGTTATTGTGGTTTTAGACTGTTTTTTGTTTGATAACTGATGTTTTAGCGCGCGGAGTGGGGCGTGATACGAAAGTTATCACACGAAGAAATCCTAGTTTGTGGGCAAAAGTCGGACCACGGGCGGGACTCGAACCCGCACATCTTCTGCTTACCGGCAGTTGCGTTACCACTTACCTACCGGGGCCACCTTTGACCTCTCTCAGCTCAATGGCTATTTGTGCCATTGCCTTCGAGCACTCACACGTTCAACGTGATGAGAACCGGTTAACCGATATCCAGCAGTGAACCGCGAGCTGAACAGGCTTTTAAACGAAGTTTTAGAGCTGTTTTTGTTTTGATAACTGCTGTTTTACGCCGCAGTGCGCGATACGAAAGTTATCACAAGAATGCTGAGTTGTGGGCAAAAGTCGGACCACGGGCGGGACTCGAACCCGCATCTTCTGCTTACCGGGCAGTTGCGTTACCACTTACGCTACCGGGGCCACCTTTTGACCTCTCAGCTCATGGCTAATTTGTGTCATATTGGCCTTTCGAGGCCACTCACTACGTTCAAGGTGATGAAGCCGGTTTAGCCCGAATATCGGCAATTTATCAAAAAAACAGTCTAAAACTTGTAAAAAGCCTTCAGCCTTGCGGTTCACTGCCGATATCGGCTAACCGGCTCATCACGTTGAACGTGTGAGTGCTCGAAGGCAATGGCACAAATAGCCATTGAGCTGAGAGGTCAAAAGTGGCCCCGGTAGCGTAAGTGGTAACGCAACTGCCCGGTAAGCAGAAGATGCGGGTTCGAGTCCCGCCCGTGGTCCGACTTTTGCCCACAACTCAGCATTCTTGTGACTCCAGTGTATCTTCCCCCGCGCAAGTCCACATGCAGCTCTGCTGCTCCCCTATTCCATAGTCCATCTCATCAAATAATCACTGTGGAGTAAACGCATACCCTTACTGAAGCTGCGACAACGAGTATGGTACAAAAGGCAAGGTACTGATGAACAAGATAATGAGGGGCGAGGCGAGAGCAGAGTACGAACAAGCTCTGCTTTCACTGCATTGCGACCAAGGCCGCAACCCTTTAAACTTCCGGATTTCCGATTATCCGCTACGACGTGTTCGCGACCTGCCCCTCTCGAAAATACCAGGCATGGATCAGACGCAGGACGTTCTTTATGTAATGACGGATTACCAACTCACACTACGAAAATACTGGGTACTACTCTTCACCTGTTTGAAGACCAGGGCGATTTACGTCGATCTCGTTCTTGATATGAAGGCTAGTACTTTACTACGTGCGCTTCGTAGGTTCTTCGCCACCACGGCTTACCTAAAATGGATACTGTGCGACAATTCAAAGACTTTAAAATCAGCGGCCGATTTACAGACGTCTTTCACCACAGAAGGAGAGCCGAATCCAGACATCATCGACTACTGCGCTTTGAGGAACATTGAATTCAAGTTCATTCCCAGCTTCAGCCCTTGGCAAGGCGGACTATATGAAAAAATGGTGCACCTTTTCAAAGTATCATTCAAACATGCACTGAATAATCGTCAACTGAAGATAGAAGAGCTACTGACTGTCGCCAAAGAAACGGAAGCGATCGTAAATTGCCGACCACCCACGT